GTCACTGGCTGAAGGCCAAAGAACCAGAGGTTTGATGATAAGTCAGAGGCAGAATCCAGACGCAGCAGAAAATAAAGGAAGCTTTACCTGAGGGTCCAATAAATTGGAAGCAGGCCACACCCCTGAGGAAGCCTCCTTTCAATTGACTGGCTGCTTATAGCAGATCTCATCATGGGGTATTACTATATCTTAATCAGAACCAACTCAATGGCACTTACAACAATGACAACAAATTGCCAAACCACTGAGAATCTTGGCCCAGTCACATTGGCACAAAACCTTAAGAATCACAACAGAATATACTAAGATTCTTCCAAAAAGGAAACCACCAGCTCCTGCAGCTACTGCTTTTTGCTCAAAATCCAGATAATGCTCACTCCTCTCTGTAAGGTCAGGATGTAGTCCCTGGAGATGTGACAAAGATGAACAGAAAGTCACATTTTCTATCCCCCTTCCCACTATACACACACACTCATACCCCAAGTATACAATGATAAAACTGGGTCAGGATAACTGCCCCCAAAACTGCCATCTGGTCCATTGCAATGATGAACTCATACTAGAAAGGTATTTTTTCAAGAAGAAAATTCCTTGATAAAACACTGGATCTCCACTCCAGGAGGGACCTTGCTATCTGTTGTTCTTTTGAAAGGTTCTTGCTGGTATATTATTCTCTAGGCCACATCTGAAATGGCCAATTGGAGAGCATTACTCTCCTTGGGTGCTATATTCACTGCTTCCTTCTCATAAAGTTTTGGAGTGCTAAATACTATTTTAAGGCTTAAACAATCAAAAGATTTTACTAGTGGGTTAAGCATTTCTTTGGCAATACAGTCCCTCTAATATTTCATAGATTTCTGATTAGTTTACAATTAGTTTACAGTCAGCTTCACATGCCAGTAAAGTAATGATGCCCAGAGTTATTTTCTGGACATAGTTCTCAAGCATAAATCCACAAGGACAAGAAATCTGTCTTGATTTGTAGACAAAAGTCTACAAACTATAACATTCAACTATAATTGTAAAATTATTTGTTACAGGAAGCAGTTGGCATCAGCCTAATGTAATCCATTAAATGTAGGCTCCATCTAATAGTATAGACTTTGAACATGAGCTATTATAAGTGATTAATATGTTTGAGAACCCTGTAATAGTTAATGTAACTTAGGAAATGCATCAATGAACACACACTTTTTTAATTCTGAATGTTTATTATGTGTCTTTTACTACATTTAGACAAAATGTTCAAGAAAGTGTTCTGGAGATCACAAAAATGTTCAGGTTGGAACTGTGTGTGGTATTGAACAGAACTGCCATCTTTTCGTTAAAATGTGGTAAATGACTCTAAGGCATTGATTGAAACCCTGGCTGCACATTATATCTTGCAGAGAAGTTTGAAAAAAATACCAGTGTCTGAATGCTCTTCTCGGAGATCCTACTATAAAAGTTCTTGTCATTTTAAAACCTTCTCAGTGATTCTAACTAAGAATCACTGCTTTAAAATACACCTCGTTGTAAAATACACCTTCCTTAGTTTCCCTAACCGAGGCCAGAAAAATAACCCTGCCTATATAACTGCTTTAAGCAACTTGGACTAGCCCTAATTTTCTCTGGCCATATTTTTAAATGAGAATTGGTTTCTGTGGCGGGGTGGCAGGGGCAGTAGAGGCAGTGCTTGCCAGCATAGTAACACAGGCCCCTTCCTCAGCAGCATATCATGCTTGTGCAGCGTCAGATGTCTGTGATAGAAGAGGACTTGGAGGAATTCCAACTTGCCCTGAAACACTACGTGGAGAGCGCTTCCTCCCAAAGTGGATGCTTGCGGTAAGTGCCCTGTGGAGACTCTTTAGCTTGGGTGGGGTGAGGAAGAAGACATTTCTGACCATCTCAAATGACCGGCATTTGAGAATGCTCCTGTTAGATTACAGTGATCTGTCCAGCCCTCTGGGCTATGCAGTGTTTAACTTGTTGTTTTCTCTTTGGTACTTGGACTCTGTGTTAAATTCATCGTTAGGGGCACTAAGGGAAATAAAATGGAGAGAATAATTTGGATGTGAAGAGGGAGTTTCAGATAGATCAGAATTCCCTTTTGACATGCAGGCAGGTCCACAGACTGATTTAGAATCATCTCTGGTAGATGAGGCCCCGACTCCAGCATCTCACACTGATTGCTCCCTTGGCAGACTGCCCTCTGGCATAATAACCACTGCGACCATCCTGAACTTGCACACATTTCGGAAATCCTGATTAAAGAACTTAAACGTAACAGAAAAATCAACTGCTCTTCCTTGCCTCTTTCCGTAGCCACTCAAACTCAGGCTCCTATTATCTCAGGCTACTAAAATATACTGTTCTTTTAGTTTCTTCGCTCCAATCCTGCTGATACACAGCTGCTGAGAAAGTTTTCTAGAAATATTTATGAAAGAATTTCCTTAGGTAAGAACGTATGGTAACTGTATAATAGGTATCATCCCAAGTGCTAGGTCTACGCAAACAGCAAAGAGCACAACAGTCAGTTTAAAGGTTATAAGATTGAACTTACCCGGAAGTGCTTCAGATGACTGGCCTGATGGTCTGTTTCTGAAAGGTCATGGCCTGAAAAACCAGGCTCACCATGAGTTGCAAATGACTCAAAGAAAATTAGCAACAACCTTTTCTTTACCAACAGATTCCAGAACTCAATATTATTGTTATCACTCGCTCTCCCTCACCTTAGCACTTTGCCCAGGCAATGCACAGCTACCTATTGTATCTGGTCTGTTCATTCCTCCCATTGTACCTTAGACCTGGCTATTCTCCTACCCAGAAATGTGAACTCAGCTGCGGGTCTCTGCCAGCCCATGCCCTACCCCAGGAGCAAAGCACAGCTTCAAACTCACCTGCTTCTGGACAACTTCTACAACCAGCTATCCTCCTAACTGATGCCATTGACTAAACTTCATTTCATAGTATTGTCAAAGTATTGTTTTCAGAAAAAAATTTTTAGTATGGGTATGGATATATGTGTATAAACACATACCTTACATCTCCGATTGCGTTTGTGTTCCTTCCGGTAATTCATTCTAGTTTGTATACATCAGCAGAACTCCTCCCCAGCTTAGAAGTATGGACCTACAATGAAGCATGGGTTTCTACTAGCTCTGTGGCTTTTGGAAAGGCTTTCACTAGCCCTAGGCTTCAGTGTCCTCCTCAGGAACCTCTTCAGATGATGATGAGAATTAAGCTCAATGAACCCTGTGAAGTGCTCAGTTCAGGGTCTCACCTCAATTGAGGCCCCACCACAGGTGAACTGCACTTCCTGCTGAATTTGGATACACTCCTCCTTGTCCAGCAACCGACAGCCTCTCTGAATTGTCAGAGTACTTTCCTAGAGCCATGATCTTCACAGTGGTGTTTTTGTAACAGAAAGACAGGAAATTCTGTGTTTTCATTATTTTTATTACTATTTATTCTACTTCACACCAAACTCAGAGGAACACAAATCAAAGTCTCTTAGAATTCAGTGACTCAAGAGAGAACGGGGAGCAGGATATAGTTGCCAAAGTGCATGTTGTTGTTGTTGTTAAGTGCTGTTGAGTCAGTTCCAACCCATAGCAACCCTGTATAGGGTTTTCGAGGAGCAGCTGTTGAGCTTGAACCACTGACCTTGTAGTTCAAACCAACTTTGAAGTCCAGTGCATTAACCCACAGTGCCACACCAGGACTCCAATGTGAGTATATCTGTAGTGTAAAATAGGATAAAACCCACACATGTACTGCCATTCAGACTCCTATTGATCCTAAAGAGGGTTTCTGAGAATTATAAATCTTTATGGGAGCAGACCACCTCATCTCTGACCCAAGAGTGACTGTGGACTACTGGCCTTGCCATTTTCGTATCACAATGCCTAACACCCAGCATCGCCAGGGTTCCTTTTTAGAATGATATCATTACTGTTTACCCTGATCCGCGGTGACCGTGGCCAGGGACCCGGCCTTTGTGACCTACTGGCAGTGGCGGCCTTGGAGACGAGGCAGTTGGTGGGCAGGTGCCCTGATGCTGAAGTACTATGAGCTTTCAGAACTTCTGGAGGCACAACAAAGTTCTGGTTGTTAGGGTACCATTGATTGGGCTTAAACATTTGGGGGCACAGAATTAAAAATAGCCCTGTTTTTCAAGTACCTGATAAGGACAACATTTCTGAGCCAGATGGTCTGGCACTTACAAGTCCTCAAAAGAGCCAAACCCAAGCGAAATAGCAGGTTTGAAGTCTTCAAAACAATGTAGCTTTGAATCTGAACTTGATATTGAAAGAAGAAATGAAAAACATCAGTTGGATTAGAAAGAACTGGCTTCTTGTAGCTGGGGTGTCCTTCATTGGTGTCCATCTTGGAACATATTTTATTCAGAGGGCTGCAAAACGGTCTGTGAAGTCTCAATCTGGAAGCAAACAGAAAAGTATTGAAGAATGAAGTGAAATCAGTATTTAGAATGAATAATATGTTATGAAATCATGATGTGCTAACTAGCTTTGTGAACATGGAGCTCTTTAATATTGTTACCACAGTACTGCAGATTCAGACTTTGGTTCTTAAAGAATAATTTTTCTTCGCTACTAAAACCCATGGCTGGGCTATACATAGAAAACTGTGGTAAACAAAATAAAAGCTATCTTCCCAAGTTACCCCCTGAATAAGATGTCTCGTTTCGAAGCTACAAAGTCATCCGTGTGTGAAAGTGAACCACTAACACATGAGCACATCAGGGCCACACTTGGTGTCTTAAAAGGAATCATCACGTCCTGCTATGGCTCTTCCGGTCGTCTGAAGCAGCTGCACAATGGTGTCGCAGGGCATGTGTGCACAACCTCACAGTCCTCAGCCCTGCTCCGTAGCCTGGCGGTCACCCACCCTGTATTAAAGCTCCTGACCACTTCCATGCAGAACCATGTGTCGTGCATCAGTGACTGTGGCTTGTTCATGGCCATTCTATGGTGTAACCTGGTTGAAAATGTTCAGGGAGTACACTTGACACCCACCACTGTCATTGAATTAAATAAGCTACTTGTGAACCTCTGCACTAGTTATCTGGGGCCTGTGATTGTTGGATCCCAGTTGACTTCAATAGTACCCAGATCCTCCTGGGCCTGGTGCACAGCATATTGACCAGCAAACCTGCCTGTATGCTCACCAGGATGGAAGTAGATCACATGAGCACTTTAGTTCTGAGAGCCTTTCTGCTTACAATTCCAGAAAAGGCCAAAGAGCACATCATTTTAGGAAGAAGTATAATTGTACTTTTAAAAGGTCAGAGGGTCATAGATTCTACCGTGTTACCTAGAATGCTCATTGAAATGCCAGAAGGTCAGTTGATGAGGATGTTGCCCATGAAAATATCAAGTGCCCTCAAGGTGGCACTCTTTTGTGTGTTTTTATCTGGAGACTTTTCTGACACTGGAGAAGGAACGTTGGCAGTCAGTGATGGAGTGTGTCTTGAAAGTGCAGTTCTGGACCAGTTGTTTAACCTAGGTAGGCAGCTAGTTAGGGAGCATGTAGATCTTGTCATGTGTCAAAAAGTTATCCACCTCTCATTGAAACAGATTCTAAGTACACATCATGTTGCAATAGACCGGATTGGAGTAGCTCTGATGGAACCACTGAGTAAAATGACAGAAACACAGCCTATTGGTTCCTTAGGCTCAATCTCTCCAAGGAGTTATGGAAGCGTGAAGGATTTGGGCTCTGCAGAATTTGGCTCCTAACATTTTTTCCATCTTCTTCCTGATGAAGTGACTGTCTCCAGTTTGCCTCTCTGTGATAGAAGTGACACGGCCTGGGATGAGTTGAAGACTTTTAAAGCGTCTGGAAGTGTTCTCATCAAAGATGAAAGATGTACTCAAACGGAACTTCAGCTAATTGCTGAAGCATTTTTCCGAGCTCTAGAATCTCTTGCTGGCTGTCTGGAACATTATGGAGGTGAAATTCTCACTGACATGAAGTATGGACAGTACTGGTCAGTTCAGTCAGATATTCCCCCTGTTGTTAACTGGCCAGATCTGCTTTCTAGATGTGGCTGTGGATTACACAGCAGCCAAGAACAACTCAGCTGGTCTTTTTTTTTTTTTT